AATTTTGTACATGTAAAAGCAAACCAGAACTATTTTTCTTTGATTTTGTTCGAGTTTATGTATTAGCTGCAACATGTTGGATTCGTGTTAATGTGTATAATGTGTTTAAACACATAACTTTGAAAAAACAACCACTTAAAAAGTCGAATTTACCAAAACTTTCATGAGCCCTCTGCAGTACCTCCATAGTCCCACTAGGGGCCGCAACCCCTACATTGAAGACCACTGGTATAAATAGAGAGTATTTTATTTGCTCAAATCAGTCACAAATGGTATCACATAAAAAATGCATTTGCTTATACTGATTCAAAACATATTATACTTTGGTCATTCATGGATATATTTTTTAAGTACCAGAAGTTTTTGATGTGTCCAGGATTATAATCCAACATTTAATCGAACGTGAAACAGAATGTTTCACTTGAATTTGTTGTTTTGGCTTTTAGGGACGGCTGCCTGTGCGCTGGATGGCCATCGAGTCACTGAATTACAGCGTGTACACAAGCAAAAGTGATGTGTGAGTTACAGATTCTATTATTTTTAACTACATATTGATTTTAGCTTTAACATCTTATATAGCCTAACTTACAACTATCTAGATATAATGTAACTGCTAGAGTTTTTTTTTAACCTGGGTGCTGCATCTGTCAAATCAGTAATTAACAGTCTTAAAGTGCCTGTTTTTATTAAATATGAATGCATTTTTGAAAAGATAACATATAAAAACATATCTTGCTGCTGAGATTAACAGTTGTTAAATTGTATGCGTGTGAAGTAACAGGAAGTGACGTCAAAGGGGAATGTCTGGGCGTAAACAGCGTTGCTACAACAGCTAACAGCAGACTTTYACAGAAGAATCTGATTCTTTAGATTATTTTGAGTCACTATCAGAGAGATGAAGAAGAAGGCTCAGAGTTCAAATAATGTTGTTTCAATTAACAAAGATCAGGAAGTTCCTATTCTTAAAGAGTTCCCCTTTGATGTCACTTCCTGTTTCACTTTAGCCGAGTCAAGTTCAGCAAACATATGCCAGTTTTGTGACAAAATGGGTAAAACCATGTGTAATTAGCCATATTTCTTACATATAAAGATGCTTTCTTTGATTTTTTGGGTAACGCTTTCTTTACAGTACCCTTATTACCATGTAATTACAAGGTAATAAAAATATGTAATTAAATGTAATTACTACCTTATTAC